GACCAGCCCTTCTGGCACCAACAACCGTCACTTAAAGTCACTTAAATCACCTTTCTTCCCCATACTGATGCTCGGTTTGAACTGCAGGAGATTGTCTTGACCATGTCTACATGCCTAAATGCACTGAGTTGTCGCCATGTGATTGGCTGATTAGAAATTAAGTGTTAACGAGCAGTTGGACAGGTGTACCTAATAAAGTGGCCGGTGAGTGTAAATAAAACAAGTGTTTCTTCCAGTTTATTTTGCTGCATTTAATCATGAATGCAACCTATAGAACCCTATGTAATAAAAACAGTGATAGTAAAACAATATCAAAAACAAAAATAACAACATGCCTCCTATTTAACCCAAATATCATTTTGACATCTCAGACTTGCCAAAATTTAAAACCAATTTTATTTTCACTCTCATAGTTTTATCTTCAACTGCTTGTAGTTTTAACTATCTTAGATGTTCATTGAAATATTTTTTTCCAACTTGTAGCCAAGGTTCTGACGTTTCTGTAGATACCAAACATGTCTATGTTTAACTAAAAGAACTTCTAGGAATTAAAGTAGAAAACCAGGGATTTGGTTTTAAGAGATTAATTAAGCAACTGGCGGGCCGAACTTTGACCACACCCGGCCCATGGGCCGCCAGTTGAATAACCATGACCTGGAGCCATCACAGTACGGTAGGCAAGGAATTTGCCTAGGGCCCCGAGCTAAAGGCGGACCCTGAGGGATGGTACTGAAGTGGCCAAATGCACCGACCATATGAAACACTGAGTACATTGAAATGACTGGTGTACTTGTACTACCTTTTAAGTGAAAGTAGCTCCATGACTTTAGCAGCTTCATTTCATCTGTTTGCTGAACAAGATAGGCTATTGTTAGTGTGGTGGATGACAGTATTTTTATATTTTTATTATAAATTAAAATTATACATCTAAAAAAGCTGCAACAAATATATTTTCAAACTATTCAGTGGTAGGTAGSGACACTACTGCTCCTCTCTGAACGCCCCACTTCGGTCATTAAAGACGTTGAACTGCTCCACTTATGCTTTTCGTATTGCGATATAAACGGCAGGATTAGAAAAATCTTATTGTCAGTTTTTTCCAGCATTGTGTGGCTCTAATCCGGACTGAATAGGGAGGGTTCACCTTTTGACGTCTTGTGTTGGCAGGTCAGGTTTGGTCCTGGGGAGATGGAGATTATGGTAAATTGGGCCGAGGAGGCAGCGATGGATGCAAGACGCCCAAGCTGGTGGAGAAGTTGCAGGATCTGGATATAGTGAAGGTGTGCTGCGGAAGTCAGTTTTCAGTAGCCCTCACTAAAGATGGTCAAGTGTACACCTGGGGAAAAGGAGACAACCAGCGACTTGGTCACGGCACCGATGAACATGTTCGCTATCCAAAGCTTCTCGACAGCCTGCAAGGTGAGTGGGCGACAAAAAACAAGGTTCCCTTTCAGTCAATTCACTCGGTACAACATCATGTATGGGAACCACGCCCCTGCGTGTCCTGGCTGAAGCCACCTCTAATCACGCCTTTAGGCAGGTGACGTGATGACGACAGATGTCAGGCTCCGCCTGCACATATAAATATTGTCGCATCACCGTCACTCCTTAGTTCAGTAACTGCTCTTCACCGAGCCCAGCTGTGCAGCGGGGCCTCCATGTGTTGTACCTCGTTCCTTTCCTTCAGGGAACAGTAGTTATATGCATAACATTACGTTATTGAAAGAGTGGCAGGGGTGTATGCATAGATTTGCTCTGGGTATTCTGGTTTTCAAAACTCTCTCTTAAAATTATGAAGTCATTATTGCACAAGGAAAACTTTGTTTAACTTTTGAGTACTTGTATGAAAAATTTCAAAGATGGAAATACTGCTGACAGTGTCGGGAAGGGAAAATTTTACATTTTGTTGTGAATTCTGCATAAGAAAAATACCCATGCAGTTTAAAGCTTGATAAGAATAACTCCCTTGTATGG